GTTCTTAGTAGCCATGGCGACCTGTTGACTTTTTTTTATTGTAGACTTATTTTTTAATTAGTCTCTTTTTATTAGTAATGTTTGGTGGAGATCGTTTTCTCAATTCCATGCTACTACGTGGAGCTCATGATACCTTCAGAGCTCAGAGAATGGACTGTTCAGTTCTGTAGTGAAGAATTGTCAAGCACCTATTATTAGAGCACATAGAAACTGTACGACAATCCTTCCTAGAGTTACGTGCCTTCCTGAGAAAGTATTCAGTTCCTCGTAAGTTTGCCAAATAGCTTTCTGGGGCGCTCTTCAGTTTAAGATTAGCAAGGCGCCATTCGGCATAGAAGGGGCATCTTGCACGTTCCCTTTCTCCTTCCTTTTAGTTTTTATTAGTTCCTGTTGAACCAGCATATGCCTTGATGTATCTTGTATGTTCACATATTGAGGCAGCGTCCAGGAATGGAGAGTATAGGGACGTAGTAGGGTAGCAGACTGCAGGTAGAGTGTGGGGAAGAAGAAGGGAGTAGATAGCTGGACTAGGCGGTTTTGAAATTGCGGGAACCTGTGTGCAGTTGCACCGAGTTTAGTGTAGTTCGCTGCGGACGGTTGGGTCTGTCAGGCGGGATAAGTTTGGCGCAGTGCCAAACCCGTTCTTTACCAGTTGTTAAAGAGAGCAAGTGATATGAATGCATCATATCGTTCGTATTACTCGTTTTCTACCACTTTTTGTCGCATGCGCGCTTCAACAAGAAGGCAGAGAACGGCTTTGACGGTGTGAACACTCATAATGCCTGACACGCCCAGCGGTCCGCAGCGAACCACAGTGTATGCAATTTAATGTACGGTTTGTGTAGTAGTACAATGCGGCAATCCCACGACGCCTAATTCAGCAGTCTGCTCCCTCCTACTTCCCTATACTCTTCACTCGTTGACGCTGGTCGACGCTACCGCAAGCTATAACAGTAGTCTGAAACGAAGATGAGGATGGTTACTGCACATCTTTATAAGAATGTACAGGTTTGCTTTGGGTGTATCGGAAGTGATCAATGGGAACCGGCCAACAAAATGCCCACATTAAGCCGAGCTCCGCCCTTATTTTACACATGTACATCATATAAGGCTGTGTAAGCATTTTTTTAAGAATTGTTTGGTCGTAATGCTTCATAGTGAAGACAAAATCTGTTCTTCCTAGCAGATTAGGCACTTTTTGTGTTTGTGAAGATCAGCCGTGTTCTATTTGCTTATGTCTTGAACGAAAGCGCCGTACACTTTGCTTCAAGAGGAACACCATAGCCTTGGAATTTCCTTTGTGGGACTGCACGTCCCGATCATTTCTCATTGGTCGGCATTGGCTGAACGTTTTGCTCGTTTCGATTGTAATATCAAAAAGGCCTAGGGAGGACACGACTTTTTCTCGCATTAGCATTCACATCGATCGTTGTATTGTTTCTATTTGCTTACGTTGGCTTCCTTGGTGAGATTCTGCTCAGCTAAAAGTATGGCTCATCAATTGGTCGAGTTTAATAACCGCGGGGAGGGGGGAGGGGCCATTTTTGCATTTGCTACTTCCATCAACGTGTCGAGCCATCTCAGGAGCTATTATCATGAGCTCACAAAGTTGTAGTTCGCCATGGCGGTCCAACGAGCTTACTCCAGCTTCTCAGAGTCCAGTATTTCACCAAAGTGAGATCTAAACCGGAACTAGTGAAGCAGCGAAAGTGCAAAATGCTCCCCCCCCTCGCCGCCGAACTGCGCATATAAATCACTCGGTAGCGGTGAGTCATCTTAATTTAAAGTTTGCTCACCTTCACCTGTGACACCTGTGCTATACCACCGGAGGAAAAAATCAGTACTCACTCGATCTCGTGCTCATATCACTTTGACGCTCTTGACTCACAGTACTTCTATATATACAGGAAGTGTACCCGTTCTTTGCTATGAGGTACTTTACACTTTATACTTTTTTACTGTTTTTGCACCGCTACTCGGTATGTGGAAAAAAGCGCTATGAACGTTTTCCATTAAAGATTGCTAAAATCGCGAAACAGATGAATTGGGCACAGAGCTGTCCTATTCAGCACTGGTGTGACAGAAATTGTTCATGTTCCAAAATGTGTAGATAACCTGATATTGATCACACTGCAGACCTACGTCTCGCTTCTGTTGTTTCTCGCAATTGTAAGTGTGCTAATGTTCTTGGCTTTTTTCCTTATTTTTCGTGTTTTCAGATCTGCGTAGGGCACAGGTTCTTTCTTCTTTTCCCTTTTTCTGTTAGGATGAGAAGAGATGCATTTGACCTTAAGCGTGATAGTTAGGCTGACGTCATACTTTCATGTTCGTTCGAGGTTTCTGGGGAACCCAGTTTCAAGCGAAATAAAAAGACAGCGTATCTATCCAGCGCTTTGAGCGCAAACGTCGACGAAAAATATACTTCAGCCCTAAAATGTTATTGTCTACAGAATCACCGAATATTTCCGCGCGAAAACAGCGTAAACCTCCGTTTTCGGCTATCTAGGAATTTGACACTGGTTAGTAACGTTTTTGGGATGCGCTGCGTACACTACTTTCGCTCAGAACCAAAGGTGCGATGTTACGATCCGATTTGACTTATGCAGCTGATCTTGGCAAGTGCGTGAGGCGACGGTGCGATTATTCCTACCCTTCCAGACGAGTCTGTTAGCAGTTTAGATGCTTTTCCATAGAGTGGAAGCTCTGACCGACCACTGATTTTAGCCTCCTACTGTGTAGGCGGACTCTTGCCTTAATGCCACCCTTGACCGTTTTCACTTTGCCACGATTAGTGAGGAGGGGAGGCTATATGATGATGACCGTCACATTATTTGGCTTCTTATATTGAACTCAGCCACAACTTATCTTCTGAGCATTTACGCACATTTATGCTTCATCTATCGCGTGAATGTTTATTGATCATATATCGTAGATGGAAGGGTTTTTATTCTGCCTCGGCTATACTTACGACCGCTTCGTTTTTTGCTTTTTGTTGTGAGAGCGCACGTGGTGATATGTTTTTATTCCAGAAATCATGCGCGAGTACAAGATTGTAGTGTTAGGTAGTGGTGGAGTAGGAAAATCAGCATTGGTGAGTCTTTTGTTTCGCTTTTCCCTCATATTCACCCCGCTTTTGAAGCTGCATATCGGGTAGCGAAGAACGAAAATGGGTGTAACAATTGAAAGTTCAAACTCTTATAAGGCTTGTTCATACTTTGCGGCGGAAAAGTAGGAGTGTAAAGGTATGGGCGATTCGATTAGAATGTGCGCCAGTATAGACATCTATCTGGTGACTTGCTGGACAGGCAGATCGACGATTCAGAAGTGTCTGAGAACAGCGTTAACATCGTAAACAGCCGTGACATCGGCGGTATCCGTCCGCCCATAATTGTTGTTCCTCCAACGGCTACGTACACACCATGCGACTGACTTTCTTGAAATTGTGCCGTCGAGCAGGGCGGGATAACATGCGATCAACTATTAGGGGCAGTGATTTTGCCACGCTGCCAACGGTTGGGAATGTACATACCGGGTCTTCAACGGAAAAATCAGCATCCAGAATTTTTTAGAGTCAGATACGAATCTTCCGATCAAATACACCCCCAAGCAAGCAGCAAGCAACAGCCTGGAGCCTTAGGCTTTCTGGCATAGTGCTATCGAAGTAACGCATGGAAGCATGTCTCGACTTATGAGCGGTTCAATGGGAATTGTGTGTGTGTGTGTGTGTCTGTCTGTCTGTCTGTCTGTAGGTCTGTCTGTCTGTCTGTCTGTAGTGGGAGGGTTGGAGGGCTTGGGGGGGATGGAAATAAATATCTTGTCAAACAGTATATTCCCCTTTACTGGCATGAAATAGCTCAGCCTCTTGCTTGACTTTCGAAGCGTTTTCTAGGTGCAGTGAGAGAAAAGCATCAGGCAGAAACAATCAGTGATCTTTGCTTAATTCTATGAACATTTCAACTGGTCTCTTTTTCAGACTGTTCAATTTGTTCAAGGAATTTTCGTGGAGAAATATGACCCAACCATTGAGGACAGTTATAGAAAGGTTTGCTATCTATAATTGCGTTACTTCTGGGTCATTTTCTAAGCGAAATTTTTTTCAGCAAGTAGAGTGCGCGGACAGCAATGTATGTTGGAGATTCTTGACACAGCTGGAACGGTAGGCTTTGGTGGCGTTGTCTTGAACATTTTTTATGGTATTAGTATTTCTGCTGGGGGGGGGGGATTTGCACTTTTGCCACTTCTCATTGTCATGTTCATCGCTTTACATGGATTGACAGGCTATTTTCGCAAGGAGTTGGCAATTTCTAACAAACTTTGACTGCTATTCTTTGATGGCTTGCGCAAGATTTCACAAATCTCGAACTCATGGTTTGACACGGCAATGGGAAGTAGACAAAATGCCCCTTCCCCCTCCCCCCTCTCCGCTGGAATGCACCATCATTAGTGTCTGATACCTGTTTGAGTAAGGACTGGCGATGTTCAAGTGTTTGCTTTGATAATTGTCAAAACTGCGGAATTTACTGCACCGTTCTGCGAATTTCCATTGCTCGAAGTCAGAGTGTTTGGACTTACATTGAAATTTGCAAAATGGTGTCTTCCAGAACTTCTGTTCCACTCAACATTCATTCATTATAGTACCTTTATTGGGGCCGGAGGTGACACTAAATTCGAATAAACTGATATCGTCTATGCTTTCCTACAGAACATTGGAGCTAACCATTAGCAAATCTGTGAAATACACTTTTGTTTCGAACTCAAGACCTCCAAGCTTTTTCTTTCGTTGACAAGCTTGAATCTTCTTTTTCACTTTTCTAAGCCCTAGTGTTTCCAGGAACAATTCACAGCGATGCGAGATCTTTACATGAAAAATGGTCAAGGATTTGTTCTTGTTTACTCGATAACAGCACAATCAACCTTTAATGACTTAATGGATCTACGCGATCAAATTCTTCGAGTTAAAGACACTGATGAGGTTCGTTCCCACATAGCCACTTTGGTATTATCTCTTTGTCACTTGAACTAGAGCTTTTTTTCAGGTTCCAATGATTTTGGTCGGTAATAAATGTGATCTCGAAGATGAACGTGTGGTGGGTAAGGACCAGGGACAAAATCTAGCACGCCAGTTTGGCTCAGCTTTTCTGGAAACATCAGCAAAAGCTAAAATTAACGTTAGCGAGGTGAGCTCTTTGGTACGAAAGACTGGATCAATTCCTTTATCCAAATAATTGAAGCCGTGTTCACTTCCTCGATCTGCCTCTAAGCTAATAGTGCCATTTATTGCGCCCATCACTTTTGTTCTGTTTCAGGTATTCTACGACTTAATTCGGCAGATCAACCGTCGTTACCCCGAAAGTGGTAAGCGTCAAGGACAGGGATCGAAAAAATGCTGTAAATGCACATTGATGTGAACAACTGAGCCTCCTATGCCCCATCCAATTTCCTCTTGGTTTTCTATATGTTATGATTCCCAGCTGCGATATGAATTTCGTCGTATCAACATCGCATATGAAATGGACCTGCAACCAAAGGTTCATTTTTTATTTTGCTATTTTTCTATTTTGTTGTGTTTTTTCACATGTGATTCCTGACAGCGATGTCGGTCAGATGCCTTAAGCACGACTGCTGCCGACTTAAGCACAACTTGAGAAAATTCAGTGCTTGTTTGCAATAAAGCCCACCACGCGAGCAATGTAATGCAGAGGCAGAGCTCACTCAGCCAGACATTTGTCTGGTACGCTCTAAAGCTTCTGTAGAAGTGGAAGTACCTGAATGAAAAGTTGAGACAGATCATTCATGGTCATGGTTTCATCGTGGTTCCAAATGTGGTACTATCCATGCAAAGTAGGAAGAGTACACCGCTACGGTCTTGCTCGCTGCCGATGATGGGGCGCTTCAGGTGGGGGGGGGGACCTTGTCGTTCGTTTTGGTGGTTTTCCACAAACTGTTTTCATTTCCCGCTCCAACAACTGGTGGATAACGGACTGGCAGCGTGCCAAACCCAACTCTCCTGACACGCCCGTTCTCCGCAGAGAGGAAGACTGTGGTTTCGGTTTCTAAGCCTTAAGGTTGTGGCTGAGGTGTCTTAACAAAATAAGGATTGTTTCATTTTATGCAACGCTTTATGTTGATACACTCATTGACTTTTCTTTTGTATCGCTCTGTGGCTGCTGTGCACAACAACAATTGCGTCTGTGCGCATGATTGAAGTAGATGGGTCATTAACAACTTGAACTTCATCCTTGTAAACTTACAATTAAGGTGGTTAGATAGTTGTTTGCCGTGTTTATTTCTAAATTCTTTTACTGTATGTTGGTTTACTTCAAGGGGCGATTTGTTCAGCAGGTGTGTAGCATTACTTCCAAGTCGCGGCATCACAAAAGAGGCGTTGCAAGCAGGGTGATGTGCGCAGCAGTCGCGTTAGGACCCAACCCATACAAGGTGGCAGCGCTACAGCGTTTCGACTCACCCTGTGTCTGCGTCTCTCACGTTAACTGGATAGCAATGACGAGTGATGCCGCGGCTCGTAAGTTACCACCCATCCAGTAGACATCTGAATTCTTGACTTATTGCGCGCTTTTCTATCTTTTTATGCTGTACGTTTCTAATGTTATCAAAGTCCGGTCTCTCTCATATCGCATATTGCCTATGATTGTTCTATAATTGAAGTTATAATTTGAAGTGATCTTTTGACCTACATTTCCCTTTTATATCACTATATGCAATTATTGCTATTCTACTTCCAATTCCATGTGTTGTTCTTGTAGTGGTTACGGTGAGACGAAATTCATACTTGTATAAGTTGTCGTGCCTTTTATGATGCACGCGACCACATTCCTATTGCTTTCTGTCGATCGTAACATTTCTATTGCTAATATACAAAAATAAAGATAACCTGTTTAGAATTTGTCTTGCCACATACACAGCAGCAGTTATGGATCAATACGTGGACAGAGCAAACGGGCTGTGGAGCGTTACATTCCGGCTGCAGCATCGCTGTACGGCCGACTTGGAAGATAGGTGGACGCATGGCAATATACGTAGTGTTGCGCGTCGACTCCATTTCCCAATCTCCCATATGAACTCGTACGCGATGCCGCGGATGGGGATTGACGTTCCGCACCCATAGCGAGTAGATATTTTAATAGAAAGTCGTGGAACCCGGAGAACAACGCAAGGTTACTCAATGACTATTCCTAGTCTAGTGACAAATGTTACGGGTAGTAGGTGTTCAGTAATGAACCAACAGCCCATAAGTAACTTCCCAGTTGGGAAAGAAGCGAAGGGAAACATGGAGAACACTGAACAGACCCCCCCCCTCAACAGTGAGGCCGAATGAGTTCCTGATGAGGACAAACCCACTTAACAGAATCCTGCGGGCAATCAGTTCCCGTAAGGCCATGTGAAATCGTCTTACGACGCTCCAAGCAACGCTGTGTACATACGTAATCCCGCTTGTGAGCCGTTGACTAGCAGAGTAATCGTGGCTGCAATGGTTGCAATAATCACGCGTCTCTAGCTTCTTTATCTCGCCGTTTCGAGTGACAAAGTGGTATATTTTTCGCAAATGCGGACTACGATGCCAAAAGCACGGAGGCTTCTTGCGGACCGCTTGGTCGCGGAATTTCTTTTTAACTATGGGTATAGATGAGTCGGCGATTCGACGTCCCAGGAGAATGTGCACTGGAGAAAAGTATTGTTATCAATCTGGCCTTGTGGTAAAAATAGGGTAACAAGCGATCCCACGTTTCAGGGGAACGCACGCCAAAGCACTGTATCGATCGACTTCAGTTACTAGCGATTCGACATTTTGGGCCGCGTTCATACTTTGCGGTTGAGTAGATTCGACGATTTGGGAGGTTCGGTGACGTGAAAGATGACGCGGCGAGGAAAGTGTAGGGATCGATTAGGCGATTGTGAAGACTGAGCCGCCCATTGATATTCAACCACTGCTTCAGCGCGGAATGGTGCGAAACCCGTGTCTCCCAAATCGCCGAGTCTCCCTGCAAAGTATAAAAGTGGTCTTAGGAGAACACTGAATCTGCTGTTCTCTCGTCGCGAAGTATGAACGCAGCTTAATTATTATTCCGAAGTTCAAAGAACCAGCCAAAGGGTTGGATAGACCCGATTTGTCCAAGTGGAGAATAGGAGATCTGTCGATACGTTTCTAACCATAAAAAGGCGAAGGTTGTATAGTGCCAAGTAGTGGCAAAATGACACCAGTTTTGTCTTGAAAAGTGGGATCCAAAACAGAAGAAGAGCGCGTGCCACATCTCAAAAGGGTACCAGTCAACGAGGAAAGCTTTGCCCCTTCGCTTTAACGTTTCAAGGAAGTTCTCGCTTCCAGAAATGAACAGGTATACTCTTTCTTTCGCGGGTCTTCAGTTTTGTAGTATGAACGCGGCCCCACACTGTACGGTCCTTAGGTAGTCCTCGCAGGGACGGGTATTGGCATAAGCCTCACTTGAACGCTTCTACAATTTTCTAAGCCTCAAGCAGCGTTGGCTAGACAGGGTGTTCATGGACATAAAGACGACAGTGAGTGCCCACTGTGACCAGACTCTGGAAATGGCGCCACAAAATCAGAAGAGCGAATCCTACCATGACGCTATTTCCAGTGTCTGGTCACAGTGTGGGACAAGCGCTGAAGAATGAGAGGAGAGTGACAATGGTTGCTCTCTAACCCACTCACATTTGGCTGGTTTTTTTTTGGATTTTCGTAGTTTTCTTCCTCTGTCATTCCATAACTCGCCTCAGCTCAGTCTCACTTCGAGCTTAGGTAGCTCGCTAGTTCGACACCGCAAGATCGTCTGTGGGCATTGTCTATATTTTTCAAAATTTGTTGCAGTATTGCCTGTGAAACTGTGATTTGAATAGGTATTGATCGAATAGCCGGACATTCGTTTGCCAAGCCGAGCTGCACTTCATTCAGACCACGTCAGTAAAAGTCTTGACATGTCATACTGCAAAAGCACGATGAAACAGGACCGAACAAGTCAAATGAAGTAACTTTGGACAATTCCAGCTTTTTTCTCACGAAAGTATGTCGGTCCCACAGCGATTTCTCTTGAATACAGTTTCCCGATAAATGAAAGCGCCGTGCACTCCAATCTCGCAGAGTTCTACCCCTCCGGTAGTTGCTCTTTCCTGTTATCTCCAAGAAGATTACAATTTTTGAGTCCTGACATCTTTGCTTGTTCATCCTGCAACAATCAATGGTTCCCCTCCCATGAAGTGTACTAACAAAGTGCAAACTGGTCAGTGACGCAGAGCCGTGTTGTTTCGATCGTCCCGTCGCTGAGTTACGAGATAACTACGGCTTCCTACTTCCTAACTCGATATTTTTAGTTTCGGGACATGTAGCTCTGTACTGGTTTGATTGGTAGTAGATTTAGAGCGTCTCTCATTTGCCGATTGAATATTTCGCAGAAAAATTAGCAACGAAAGCCGCTTGTCCCCAGGCCTTCTTTTGGTGTTTTTAATTCTTATTAACTCTTGTGCTCGTATCAAAACAGTATCTCCTCCTACTGGAGCAGAGTTTTAAATGTTTTAGAGCCGGTTGAACATAATTTCGTTGAGTTTCTCGCAATTTTTCTCTTTCATCTCAGTCATTCAGGATGACCGACGCCGAGAAACTCGCTGAAATTCGTGAAAAGAAGGCCAAGAATGTGATGAGGGAAATGAGAATCCAAAAACTGTGCCTTAATATCTGTGTGGGAGAATCCGGTGATCGGTTAACCCGCGCTGCCAAGGTAAGATACTTTTTTCGTTTGCTGTCACTTCGACATGCCGCAGACAGACGTGTTCAAGGTGTTGGAGCAGCTGACTGGTCAGACCCCAGTGTTTTCGAAGGCTCGATACACTGTACGTTCGTTTGGAATCAGGAGAAATGAGAAGATTGCCGTGCACTGCACTGTTCGTGGACCCAAAGCCGAGGAGATCCTCGAAAAAGGGCTAAAAGTCAAGGAATTCGAATTGTACAGGGAAAATTTCTCCGACTCAGGAAATTTCGGGTTCGGCATCCAGGTGAGCTCACTTCTTCCAATTCCTATTGTTGTTGAGGTGTAATTCAATTCATGAGATGCGGCACGAACTGTCATTATTAAAGCGCGTTTATACTTCGCGATCTTATCGCTTTGATCGCGCGACCGTTACGGAGAGCGCTCCACAGCCAATCCGTGGACTCCGAATAGAACCGAAGAATTCCTACGGAAATTTGGAATGGGAATTTCTACGGAGTCCGAAATTGAATTTTGCCCCGCACCAGCCACCAATTGGGACGCGCGCGCTCTGGACGTATGAAGGCGGACTTGGCTAGTTAACTGGACATAGTCCGTGGTATGAAATCAGCTTGCAATGGCAGCTTACTTCTATACCGTTTATCATAGGACTTCCGGAATTTGGCAGTCGGCAAATTGCTCTCCATTTTAAGTTTTGGGATCCATGTCAGATCACATTCATCATTTTACGGTTTCAGTTATCGGGAAAATCCCTGAGCGATTCTGAAAACTTGGGGCAGAAGAAAAAAGTTTGTCGGTTGCTGTTGTTTCTTTTAAGAAACCCGTAGAGTAATCGCTACAAACGTGGGCCGCTGACATCTAATTAATTTTACGCACAACGGCGTCGAGTCAACTAGATAGGAACATAAGGTCACTCGTTATCCCTGAGCCAGAGTAGGCGTGGCACTTGAACATGGCACGGAACTGGTTACTCGTGGAATATTCCAGTCTGGGACAACTGTCATCTTGTTCTGTGTTGGACAGAGACACGACAACAATTGTGTCAAGATGAAAATATCTCACCAGAAGCATAGACACCTTCATAAGTTGAAACATGCAGCCACGCCTACCCGATCTCAGGGGTTTCGAGCATAGCTCACATGCCGTCGCACCTCGGACTGGGACTTTTCTGGCGTTTAGTTATTTCCTGGCACTCCTTTCATGCAACACTCGTCTGCCTATTTAAGGAGCACATCGATCTTGGGATCAAATATGATCCAGCCATCGGAATCTATGGCATGGACTTCTACGTGCGTAGCTGGTGCTTGATCGTGCCGGTCGCCGTGTGGCTAAGAGAAGACGCGCTCCGGGTCGTGTTGGACCGTCTCATCGTGTGAGTCGCGATGAAGCCGTCAAGTGGTTCCAGCAGAAGGTACATCTGACTGAATTTTTACAACTGCCTTTGATGCCAACCTTATTTTCAGTACGACGGCATTATTCTTCCACCTCGGCCTAAGGTCAAGCGCACTGTCCATCGTAGGCGCTGAATTGTTTGTTGTTCTGTTGGTCAATAAATGGTTGATTTTTGCCACAGACTTTTCAAGCAGTTAACAGTTTCTTTACCGTGCAAGTTTACGATAGCACGATAGCAGCTGCAGCTTACGTAGAGAAGTGTACCGTAATGGAACAGAGTAACTATCCTACTATTAGGTTGTCCGGAAAGTTCTTAGCGTTTTGGGTGTTTAACTTTAAACGATCATAACTTTCTTAACACTCATCGGATTTAATCCAAATAAGCACCATTCGAATCAGCACACTTTTGCCAATGTGACAGCAGTCGAGAAATCCCATCAAAGAAAAAACTGGGTGGTCGAGAATCCACGAAATCTGCGAAGGTCTTTTTTGCCTGGTCCTGTTTGATGAAGTATTTCTCAGCAGGAAAGTTCTGAAAATGTCTGAAAAGGTGACAGTCGGTTGGTGAAAGGTCTAGAGAATATGGTGGGTGAGGTAGAACTTCAACCCCCAATTCGTTCAATTTATGGATAGTGATTTGTGAAACGTGTGGGCGGGCGTTGTCATGCAAAAGAATCGGACCCTTTCTTTTGATAAGTGTTGGCTGCAGCTGACAAAATTTTCGGTACATTTCGTCGATTTCTTCACAGTAGGGTTCTGCTGTGATGGTTTGGCCTGGTGATGAAAAGTTATAGTGGATTACAACAGCCGATGACCACCAAACCTGACCAGAATTTTTTTTCGCGAGGGTTCGGCTTTGAAAATTACCTCGGTGGTTCCTCCAAATCCAACCACTGTCCGGAACGTCTCCTGTTATCATACATGATCCATTTTTCATCACAGGTGACAAATCCGTTCAAAAACGGGTCAATTCTTTTGCGCAAAAGCAGTGAAGAAGGAACCTCGAGACGTGCCGATTCCTGCCGGTCACTCCGATTGTGGGGCACCCAATTGTCGAGTTTTTTCACCTTCCCAATGCGTTCCAGACCATCTGCAACAGTGGATTTGCCAAGGCCTAGCTCTTCTGCTATCTCTCGAACTGTTTGGGATGGGTCAACCTTCAAAATCCCCCTAAAATCCTCGTCAGATATTGCTTTAGGTCGACCGCTATGAGGTTCACCTTCAAGGCTGAAATCTCCAGAACGAAATTTGTTGAGCCATTGCCGCACAGTGCTTTCTCTAGCACTATTGGGCCCCACACCTGGTTAATTTGTTGAGCTGTTTCGATTGCGGATTGCCCCAATTTATAGTCGAAGAAAAAAATCGTCCGAAGTGCTCTTTTCACATGCTTGAAAAAATCTTGAAAAAGAGGGTTTATCAAGCAATGGTGAAACGGCAATTATACCATCAGATAGCGCAAGAAATTCTCTACAGGATGTGCTACTGAGAAGCAAGGCAGAATGAGTTTTTAATCAGCAGTGAATGTACAAAGATTAGGTGCACAAAACGCTAAGAACTTTCCGGACAACCTAATACATATAATCCGCTATGTCCGTGTGTGTGTGTCTGCCTGTCTGTCCTTCCGTCCGTCTGTCTGTTTGTCACGAAATTCATAGCGCCGGTCCCAATAGTGATGAGACATTGATTTCAAGAAGTGATGTAGGCGGTGTGACGGGAACACTATTGGTGGGTGACAGGAAGTGATATCAGTTGATAAGATACGATAAGGGGCCTTAGAAGGGGAGGGTGACCGAAATCGTAGCGCAAGTTGCAGCAGCTGCGGGACCGTGATTTCAAGAAGTGATATACACGGCAGGACGGGAACATATTTGGTGGGTGACAGAAGCTGATAACACTTGATAAGATTCGATAAGGGGCCTTAGAAGGGAAGGGTGACCGAATTCGTAGCGCGAGTTGCAGCAGCTGCGGGACCGTGATTTCAAGAAGTGATATACACGGTAGGGTGGTGGCTGACAGAAGCTGATAACATCTGATAAGATCCGATAAGGGACTTTAGACGCGGGTGTCACCAAATTCTTAGCGCAGTTTGCAGTGAACGTGGGACCTTGATTTCGAGACGTGGTATAGGGTAAGGGAAGTGGGCATGACTGGTCAATAGTAAAAAATGAGAAAAATGGACAGTAGTAGTATGTAGGCTCAGTTTATTGACAGCTCAGCAAATCTGGTGACACTGAAGCGAAAGAGCTCGTGTGGACAGAGATGGATGAGGCACGGCAGAGGAGATAGATGTACAGTCTTGTTCGCTGTAGATGCTGGGGCGTGTCGAGGACGCAGCGTTAGTCCGTTCACCACTTGTTAAACGAGGCGGCAACAGCTGGTGGCAAACGACTGATACGAACTATATGATATAGTGTCGCTGCTGGCTGAAAGAGAAGAAAAGAACCTTCAGAAAACACGTCAGTCAGTTAGTTGAATGAACTGACTGACGTGTACCAAACCCACCCCAACCCCTCGACACCCTCGGCATCCGCAGCGAAAAAGGTTTTTGTAGTATAAGCGGGAACTGGGAACAATGAAGTGGAGAGTGCAGGAAGAATCAAAGAAAGACAGTTTTACTTGTAGCATAACGTACATCTGATCATAAACAGAAAAAAGCTTCACGTTTTCCATTTCTCTTTTCTCAATGATCCTAACTTTTCTATCAGAGCAAAACAAACTGTGGGCACTAACGTAATTAAGGGGGAACATCCGGCAGCACTTCTATGCCCTTTCCCCTAACCAAGGTTGGTTCAAGCTTAGTGGACACTAGTGGACACTATTCTGTGCGAAACTACCCCTCGGCCTGCGCTCTAGCGCTGTAGCTCTGAGCCTTGGTTAGGGAAAGGTACAGAGTGACTCGGCCGAGTGTCCCCCCCCTCCTATCCACGACTTAACCGACTTTATGCATATTCAATTAAGAAAACACAAACGCAAGGTTTCCTATTAAATAGGGGTAATAAACTAATGCCATGACAATTCATGGACTTAGCATTACTGTGAATGTGGATGAGAACGGAGTTCAAAGGGCAAGGATTTTTGCGGAGGAACGAAAAAGGGAGACTGCGGCAGCATCCAAGGATTTAACAGTTTTCCAATATCGATGTCTCAAGATCAAGGATATTCTCGCTGGATGGTGCTTCGCAAGAACGTTGATAACTCATCCATCATGACTGGATTGACGCGATAGGGTAATTATGGTAACAACGGGTATTGACTTATAATATTCAAGTGTGACTAGTTTTTAGTTGAATGAACGAACGGCATAAAGTGCACCATCTCCATCGATCATAGAGAAATGGTGGGTAACTTAGCACCGAAGACTTGCAAGGTTGAAAGTGACTTTATTGGTACCCCTTCGAGCCTGACCAGCGAGAACGCTGTTACTACCGTGCATAAGCGCAATTTCGAACTGTAATCTTCTTTTGACCTCAGCGGAAGGGGCCATGCAGGACACCAATTGTAGACCACGAGCAGCTATCATCCAACTATAATTCGGTACCTGGACTGCCGTCAAGCTGTAGAGCAGACTTTCTCTCCAAGACTGTACCTTCAGCCTCCGGAACGGTCGTTCCATGTGGCGAAGATGATGTTGAGGCTAATGCCGTTTGGACTCCAGAAATTTCGGCTCCGAGCTCATTTTAAAAGTGGCAAGATCACCAAATCCGCTAAAAACTTGTATATAGGGGTAATTCAACATCCTGATCACGAATATGACATTCATTTTGGCGCTGGCGCTAATGGATGACACTACGGTTACCTGCGCTCTGCTAAGGCTGAGCCCAGGAGGTAATCGTAGTGTCCTCTCTTGGCTCCAAGAATGAAGTGTCATACTCGAATCGGAGGTTGAAATACCTCCTATTATACAAGTTTTAAGTGGATTTGTGTGTTAGCTAAAATTCGCAAATGCAGCTCGCGCCGAAAAATTTCTGCAGTCCAAACGGCATTAGCCAGGCGTCTGCAGCTGCTACAGTAGCACGTCCGCTCAACAGTGCACGGAACGGGGCTAGAGGATAGGTGATCGAGTCGCCCGTGCCATCTTCAAGTTGCAACACTTGCGTCTACACCAAAATCCTGCAGCGAACACGCAGTCAGCGGCAGAAAAAAAACCAGAAGGGGGCAAGGTACATCATTGTAGTGAGAGGGCGCAGACAAGCAGTGCGTTTCGCTAAGGTTGCAAGCGTGGATGGCCGTGCGGCAGGGCGAATTGGGTCGAGAGACGACGTCAAAGTATCACTACCCTCCAGCCCATCCCCGCGTACTTTTGAGCGGAGTAAGTGGCGCGCTGTTTCAGCTGATGACCCCACTCACTTCGCACAGGGCAAGATCCAGGATCCAGACGATGAGTTTGTGAATCCGGAAATCTTAACTGCAATGCCACGTGCTGTGGGACCGAGAGCGAGCATCACCATCACTGTGGGACAGACAGCAGTTTCCATCAAGATACGAGAGTAATTCGTCTCTCGATCTGGATTACTAATGAAGCAAAAATACTGCTTCCTTTCCAAGACATCGACCTTTTCGGTGCATCTGTAGTAAAGGAGGGGGCGAGGGCGAGACAGATGCCATGGACTCTGATTACATGCGTTCTATAACCAGGGCAAGATGGGGATCGTAATGGCCGATATAAAATTGAATTGAAATTGAAAAAGAGGTTTATACCGTCCGACGTGTCTTTGGATAGATCAGGAGTCCACCTTTCATATGTGCTGCTGACTTCACTGAGCAAAGTTACGATGTCCAGGGGAATATACTAGCACTTACACTTGAGGCGATTCAGAGGGCAAAAGCTTCTTTGAATTGCGGACAAACTTTTTCAAAAGCCACTGCGATACACCGGCGGTAGTGTAATTGGAAGGGACCAGTCGCCAGCATCCTCGTGACCTTCCCCTAATCAGGGATTCATTTAGTGAGGACTATGCTTCCTCTGCGGAATCATCTCTAGGCAACCATAGTCGTCTGCATTCTCAGCCTGAGACTTTCTCGGGGGATACAAAGGCGCGGCTAAGGCAGCGTTCAGACTCTTAGCGCTACAACTGTAGCGCTACAGTGTAACGCGACAATTGTAGCGCTACAAGTTTGAACGTTGCCTAAGTTTACCCGCCAGCTGCCCTCCTGCCCCCCTCGCCAAACACGACCCTCTATTTCACACAACGATGCCTCGCCCTCTGTAAAGATGAGACGAAATCGAGCGATTTCGCGCTCCATTTGTGCGCACCGCGCCGCAAGCGCCTGCACAAATGTCATGTCAACGTCATTCCAAGTGGAGCACTTTTGTTAATCACTCAGCTCTTATTAATTCTAGTAGTATGTGCTAGCTTTCATGTATAATAGATTTGTTTCAACGGAGGACAATGTTGATTACACGATTTGCACCGCCTAGTAGGCAGTTTTTTCGACAATTCCTTATTCCCACTTCAAGCTGTTCTTCTGCCAATGTTCAAGGTATTTAGAGGTTTTTTTGTTGCATAGCTGCTCTTTATTCAGGGAGGATGCTGAAGAGCTTTCATCTTATTTCGTTCATTTAGAGCGTGGAAATGCGTGGCGTGCTTGCCTCGGGAAAATCTCTCGTTCTCAGTATCTACGACACTATCCGGTGACGCTTATAAGACCAGATGGGTCAACGCTAGAAATTCGTTACCTGGAACCACGTGGAGTGAGTTCACTTTTCAAAATGGGCGGGTGCTTTTTCGGGTTCCTACGGGGCATATGTGGTGCTTATGCATCGAAATATCCAGTGAACTAATTTGTCTGGAACTTCACACTCAATTCTCATACTCTTCCACCCATGAGTTCTTATAAAGTGCTCTTCATTCGTTCAGCATAACAGGAGAGCAGAATAGCTAAAGGTCTTACTTTGGTGAGCAAACTCGTCCGAAATGAGAGGATGCGTGATGATGGCGAACTGCCTGCACACCTAATTTGCCCATAGGTTGTTTATTAACCAGAACCTGTACCATGTCTCATCAGAACCATTACTGTATAGCCAAAAGTAGGCCTTAAATTTACAAATAATGTAAATAGGCTCCCAGAATGTTTATTGCCCAAAAACTCATGTCGCAGAAACGAACTCAAAAGTCCCGGATTTGTTTCCGAATATTTCGCCTGCGCGCTCTTCAACGAGCTGTACGTGAACATTTTAGGACCTACTTGTGTTATTTACAACATTCAGATACTCCTTACACTCCGGGATAGCATAGTATTGACAAAAATGGATCGTTATATTGTTTCAGTAAGAATAAAGCCACTTCTCTGGG